GGCTCTCTGCGGGGCGGCCGTGGCGGAGCTTGACAAGTCCAGTGATGCCGGAGTATTCCGGTGGCTGGTAGTGATTTTTGTGATTTCTCTGAAGTAAAACATTTGTATCAAATGTAGCACACTTAACAATATCGGAGTGGAGTTTTTCAGCTGCGTTTTTCTTCTAGAAGTCACGTTGCCAGTGTGAACTTGTTTGTATCGGTCAATATTTCAGCCGCTATTCTGAAGAAACAATTTCTGTTTTTTCCAGTCATGGTTTGCGTTGCAGTCATGTAATTGTGTGTACGAGCTGCAACTAAATCTACTTGCTCCTGCTTTTAACCTTCCCTTGAACATTATTTTTGGACTGCTGGAGAACAGATCTTTGCATCTCAGCTGCTTAAAACTTGGCATTTAAAGTGAAAGTTCTGTAAGAAACTGTGCAATAGCCTCTTCGTCTTAGGTTCTGAATCAGAGCTGTAGACCTGTGTGTTTATGCTGAAACCTGATAGCTGATTGAGACATCTCTGTTATAGTTCATCTTAGGCTACTGCAGGGTAGAAACAAAGTTCTCGTATTTCAGAGCAAACTGTTTTCATCATGAGATGTCTCTGTAGTGGCAGCAGTGACTCAAGACAGGGGAAGAAAGGAAGTTAGGGAAGCTTTGAAGTTACGTAGCTTATTGTGGCCTACCTCTGGCATTTTTAATTTTTTTTTGTTTCCCCGAAGTATGTAATGTTCCCGTCATAACTGTGTTTTGCCCATTGTTTCCCAAAATCTTTTAAGCATGAAAATAATTCTGGTAGTAGGTGGAGTAGAAGAGTGCAGTTGAACAGGCTCTCACACTTCAGCATCCCTGGTGATGGTCAAGTACTCGCTGGTGTGCACAAATTTTTATAGTTGCTGGTATGTTGTGCAGCGTAATGAAGAGTCATTGCTAAGCATGATTCGTTTGGTTCCCAAGTTAATTCATACTGAGGTCTAATAGTTCATTCTGGTCTTAGTCCGATATGTGTGTACTGTTTGTTTGGCAAGTATGCTTTACTCGCAGCATAATCAAGTCCAGGGAAAATGGCTGTAAAAAAAAAAAAAAAAATCTTAAAATCACTGATTTGCGTACATATATTTCTGATATATTGCTGGAACTTGACATCCGTCTAAGAAAGCTTTTCTTTTTATTCTTTATTATTCTAAAAGAAGGAGATTTGGTTTTTAGAGCCGTATGTTTTCTTTGGCAGGGGGCAGTGGTGGTAGGTAAGTTTTTAAAGGAAGGCATTTTTCATAGTGATAATGAACTTTTTTGTAATGGAAGACCTTTTGGTAATGTATTCAATGGCTTGATAACGTCTCTGTGGATGACTAGAACTTTGAAAGGCTGACCGTGCATCATAGAAAGTTATTACATATTCAAAATGCATGTGGTAACGTGTTTTCATACAGAATTCTTTACTTCTAAACGTGGAGATTATGTAATATTGCAGCAATGGACCTGCAAGCAGGGTATACTCATTTAAAAAATAGACACAATAATATTTTTAATTACTTTTTTTAAAGCTCTTGAACAGACTTCTCTGTTAATGTATTGTTTCCATACATACCTGTTCAAATTAAAATGAATTATTTCTGGAAGTGAAATAGGAAAGGTCATGGTCCCTGTATGTCAGAGGTGCTTGTTGGCAGTGTGTTGGGGGTTGATAAACTTTGTGGAATGGCTTGCAAAAAAAGAAAGTTAACTAAGTGCATCAGCCTTTGAAAGCTGAGAACTTGAAATGGAGCTATGAAGAACAAGACAGTATCTATTTTTTTCCCAGGGTCTGGAAAAAGTAAGAGGAGGGAACTAGACAGAACTTGGATGGAACTCTTTTAATATTTGAGTAGACTTATAAAAACTCGTGGTCATTTAATCATGTTTCCTTGGTGGTAGTGGGAGGTCCTGTTGTGTTCTTCATCAGTTCCACTATAAAACATTGCTATTTCAATCTGATGCTGATACCAGACATTTTGTTAATCATCAGCATTAAAGCCCATTTATGTGTATCAAACGAAAATGAAGAAATTTTTTATAACTTGAAAACAGGTTGCCAGTCTACCAGACTTTATCCCAGTAAGGTCTGAAACTGTCCAGATTCTGTCCCTCAGGTGTTACTTTGCGGATGGCAACACTCTAAAGCCCATAATTCTGTGCGCTGCTGCAGCAGCAGCAGTGTCAAAGTGTGATGGTGACATTGCCACCCCTGCGCAGCATCTGTGAAGAGGAGACGCTGCTGCGTTCGCTTTGAACGGCTGTGTGGCACCAGCGCCTGGCTGGGAGGCTCCGCCAGGCAGCACAGATGTGTGTGAACGCCTCATGACTGAGAGATGTGACTTTGCATAAATTTCAGGTCCTCTGTGGTTGTTACTACTTTTCTTTGGGGAAAAGAGTTCTGTTAAATACTCTTTTTGTTTAAAACCAGATGATGAAAATAATTACAGTACTACTGGATTCTGTTGCTTTCTGAGAGCAGCTGAAGCTGGGATCAAACTGAGTAGGAGAAACAGCAATAGATTTTGTGGTGTTTGAATGCTGTCAGAGGAAAGATCTGGAGGAACAGGGTAGCAAGAGGAGGCACAAGGACAAACAGTATTTGCTTTTTATTTACTGATGTTAAACCCGTAAATAATCGAGATGCTGCTTTAACTGAATGCACACTGTGACATTATGGATTACCAACAGGAAAACTTATGTGACAATATATTCTTAACTTGTGTGCTACCCTTTTCTGTTGTCTTTAGAAGAATAAATCCTGTTAAGGTACTGCAGATCTTTCATCATGTATCCAGTATGATCTAAACTGTAGACATATGTATGTGTGTATGTATTTTACTTTTGTATCTGCTACCATGTGCAGTGAAATATTTTCAAATTGTTCTTGATTAGTTCATTGATTGTGAACTATAGTTCTTAGGGTGATGTTTAACTAAGGTGTTTTCTTCCAGGGTATTTTAATAACTGAAAGTGATACATTTCCTACTTTGTTGAAGTGAATTATCTTTCCAAAATGATAAAAAGAAAAGCCTCCAGGTTTTTCTTCAGAATTGTGTGTTGCAATGCTGGTGCAATTTGTTTTTCATACATTGTTTATTGCTTACTGGAAGCGGCCATTTCTATTATTTAAAGAAATGGCTGTTAGAAATTACCAAAGTTTCCATTTCCTGTTGCTTTGTTACATTGATACAATTTTCTACTTCCCTAAATCAAAATGGTATTTTCATAGTGGAAAGCTTCCATAAAATACTGTTGGTAAATTTGAGCAACTTGTTTATTCCTGTTCATCTGAAATTAAGATTTCTTCTTCCTTTCTCTTACGTGTGTTTTCTGCATTTCGTCACACTTTTTCCATAGCCCCTTGCTTGAAGGAACTAGAGAAGGAAAGGAAATACAGAGCAATAACAAGTGGAAATGGGTGTGTCCGTGATGAACAGTACTATGGCTGTTTCAAAATAATGTCCACTGTCTCAGGTTTTGCTGAACTAATTCTACTCTGTAGGAGGAGTGAGGCTGGTCACAGGTTCAAATGGTTTTCTGTTGTTTTACTTGAGACTAGCTGTACTTCCCCAAATTAAATTTGCCTTTTTTTCCTTTTTTTAATTCTAGGCTTTCTGCTCTGGATTTGATTCTTTGCAAAATGAATATTGCATTGTTTCACAAACGTTGGACCCTCCAATAGAATTTGTCAAGATCAATGCAGATCAACGGCTTATTTTTCTTGAAGACTCCTGTGCAACTTTCAAAGTTTTAATCACGATGAATTCGGGCTTATGGATAGACAAGCAGACTCAAAAGCTCTTGAAAGTCCCCAAAGGTAGCATTGGACAGTTTTTTCAAGACCGTTCTTCTGTGGGACACTCCAGAAATATTCCTTGTAAAGGCAAGAAACTGCAGATCGGATTAAAGATTCTGGAACAACCTCATGCAATCCTGTTTGTGGATGAGAAGGATGTTATAGAAATAAATGAAAAACTAGCTGAGTTGCTTTTGGCCATTACCAACTGTGAGGAAAGATACAGTCTGTTTAAAAGCAAAAGCAGGTTAACTAAAGGCATCCAAATAGACATTGGCTCACCTGTTAGAGTACAGCTGAGATCAGGAGATGATAAATTTCCTGGAGTTGTTCGCTTCAGAGGACCCTTATTGCAAGAAAGGTCCCTAACTGGGATCTACTTTGGAGTAGAGTTGCTGGTAAGTTTCTTGCTAAGGGGGAGCATAATACATATTTTATAAGATGACCTAAAAATGTTCTGTTTAAAGGTGCAGTCGTAACAATTTGTTTTTTTTCTTGAATCATCATTACTGCTAAAAATTCTGTAACCTTCAGTCTTTTGGCAGTTATTAAATACCTGTGAACATACCATATCACGTCAGCCTTGTATTCTACATGTTAAATGAAGCTTGATGATGTGCATGGGCTGGCAAAAAGACTTGAACGTACTCTGACTCTTTCAGCCTGAAAAAATTTACTTACTTACATCCCTATTGTGGCAAATATCTGGCTCTCAGATTTCTATTGAGTACTTGGTTTTTGCCTGCACGTGGCAGGATACAAGCTATAAACGCAGGCTTGGATTTTAGGGCTGCTGGTTTTACAGAGCCCTAAAAGTAAAATGGCAACAAGTTAAGATAGCAAATGTTGCCCTTGTGTGCTCCTAGTGAGATATCTCTCTAAAATTAATGTCAGTCATAAGCTTTTGAAGGATTAGATTCAGGAGAGTGCCACTTTTGCATTAGAAGTGTGTTTTTGAAAGTCCTTTTTAAACTTTTCCCAAATCCTTTGCAAGTCCCACTAAGAGCCTCGAGGAATATCAGAGCCAAGAGCTTCAGAAAATCATCTGTCTTTCTTTGGCATCAAAGTGAATTTTTTGACTGCTTAGCATTATGGCTACTATGAAGTAGTCTTGTCTTGATATGGCAAAAATTTGATGACGGAAGCAAGATTTTCACCTGAAGAAAACGTGCTTCTCTGAGTAAAAAAGCTTCTTTCTGCCTGCAGCTACGCTCTAATCTTACTGTTTAGTCGCCTAAGACAGACAGTGTGCATATTTGCCACAAAATCTGGCAACAGAATTCTCCCAGTATAATGGTAGTTCATCAGGCAATTTCTTACTGCAGTTTCTCTGAAACACTTGATTATGTTACTGCTTCTGTAGTAGTCTGCTATTGCACAAAATAAACTGTTTTTTCTTCCCTTTTCTTCTTCCTGCTCTGACACTTAGGAAGAAGGTCGCGGTCAGGGCTTTACTGATGGACAGTACCAAGGCAAGCAGCTTTTCAGATGTGATGAGGATTGTGGGGTTTTTGTTGCTTTGGACAAACTGGAGCTGGTGGAAGATGATGATAATGAACTGGAAAGTGACTATGCAGCTCCAGTTGACGCAATGCAGGTAGAACTTCCTCCTCTGGAGATCAACTCCAGGGTTTCTCTGAAGATAGGAGAGAGTATAGAGTATGGGACAGTTATATTCTGTGATGTCTTACCAGGAAACGAAAGTTTAGGATACGTTGTTGGAGTGGACATGGTAAGAAAATAATCTGACTTTAATAACTTTTGCATGTGTGTTAGCTAGTAAATTACATGCAATATAGAAGAAGAAACATTATCCACAAGCTACTTCAGCGGAGGCTGACCTAAAACGGAAAATAAACACCTGTGTCCAAAGATGCCCCTTGGTGGTACTTGCTTTTTGGCATCAGGTAAATGATGTCCTATTTGATGCTGAACAGTTCAGGAGAAATACTCTGGTTACTCTGAGGAGCCTCCACTGAGCTACTTGCAATGTTAGATGTCAGTCGTGAAGTAATAGAGCTGCGTGTTTTGTCTTGTGAGACTGGCTTTGCTCTGCCTTTTTTAAAAGCAGGCTGAATGCCTTTTTCTGTGTTAGCTATTTTTAAAAGCTTTTTTTTTCATGTGACTTTGCTTTGTTTGACACTGTTCTACCTTAAAAATACTGAGTTTCAAGTACAAAAGCTGATCTTTCAAGAAAATGTGAAGCTTATCATTAAAAATTATTTCTAGCATCTTCATTTTTTTAAGATGAACTGCTTTCAAATTTTTGGTAGTTAAAGGGTGTTTTGGTTTTGTTTTTGTAGATCAGGTGCTTCCATTTTCTTGATTGCAGTAGCTGTTGCCTAACAATGCACTGGAATTGTTCTAACTTAATTATAAATAATGGATTTTAGTAGAGGAATGCCTGCTAAAACAGGAAATATTTCTCAAAAGAATAGTTCTAAGTTTGTGTTTGTATTTAGAGACTGTAACGTTTGACTGTTCTAAATACAAAGTTTATTACAGGAAAAAGTAGATGTTGTCAAACCTTTCATTTTCCTACTTTTTACGTTCTTAAGAACATACGTGTGTATTCTGTGTGATGTAGATCTTCTCTTGGGATACATGTAACGTTTTTCTCTTTTTAGGATAATCCTATTGGAAACTGGGATGGAAGATATAATGGAATACAGCTGTGCAGTTTTGCAAGTGTTGAAAGCACACTTCTTTTGCATATCAATGATGTTATTCCAGGTATGCTCTGCTTTCTTAACCAGAAGGCAGACTTTAACATTTCAACCTAGGCACAGTTATATGATTAAAACAATACTGTGGAATTAATATTATAAATTCTCTGTGTTAGTTTAACCTTCTGTGTTATACTTCTCTTCAGTTTCCTCTTCCTTTTGGTTACAGTCTCGTTAGTAGAAAGGTTTAATATTGATCAAAATTCCGGTCAAATTGTATAGTATTCGTAAATACGTGAGTGTCTGTAGTGGGAATTTTTATTGAATGTTGTTCAATTTACTCCAGGAGTTGAAGTATCTTGGATCAGAAAGCTATTCTTTCTGTGCGTGGAATGTGTTGATGGTATTATTTATGCATTCTTTGAGTAAAGATTTGAAAATTCATGGCAAGACTGTGGAAAAATTTACTAACCGCAGTAACTCACTGAATGGTGTTAACTTGTGACCACTACAGTCCCCCGATTCCTTTTCTGAAGAAAGACAAATGTTTTGTGCAAAACTGTTGTTTGTGCTGTATCTGAAGACGGGTGCCACTGAGTGTGCAGTCCTGTACAGCCTGTAGCCTGTAACCATTGCCTTCTCTCTTCAACTTGGCTAACTTTTCTTATGTTCGTCTCCTACTCAGTGATTTAGTTGAGATGCATGTTTTTGCGTGAATTCTGCTCTCTTCTCTGGAAAATTTATGGGGACTCCTCCATTTTTGGGAGGAGAGCGTTTGTTGTGGATGTGTTGGTAGAAAACAAAGTTTAGCATTTAATGGATCTGTTTCCTGTAATGGAAGCACGCACATACATTGAAGAACGTGAAGTCAATCTATTTGATGTGTTCAAGAAATAATGGTAGACTTCAGAGTAAAATAATGGCGGATGTGCTAGAAGGAAATCCTGTATGCATAAAATGTTGGTTATGTGCCAAACAAGGATTAGCTTCACTCTGTTTTAAAACTTATGATGCTAGACCTCGGCTCAGTTATGGTGCAAGTTGAACTTTTGTGTGACATAGTGAAAGCACAGAAGAGGGAAGCTAATGTTCTCCTCATCTACCACGTCATAGAGACTGTGTCACAGGACAGGAGACCTCCCAAGCTTGCCTATGCCTCCAGAGGTGGTGGTGACAAAAGCTTGTTCAATCATAGTAAGCCAAAGGCTACAGGTACGTGTGGGAAGTGATTTTTTTTTTTTTTTTACCTATGTAAGAAAACAACTTTCTGTTACTTGGGAAGAAGTGTTGCCTTGCATTTTCTGTCACTTCATTTATTATTTCAGTTACATATCAAATTAGATTTCTCTTGAGTATTAATTTAATCATAATAAAGATGGTAGACAGTTTAAGACTGCTCAAAATACCTTCACTTCCATGAAAAACAGTTTGAGGTTTAGCAGAAATTCAGGAGCATATTACCTAGTTGTCTAGCATGACCAATTCAGGGCTACACTCTGTGAAACTTGGTATGTATTTGTTTTGGGGTTTGTTTTGTTTTATTTTGTTTTTTGTTTAATAAATACAGTTTGCTTTTGTCTTCCTTCTGCAGGACTAAAAACTTCCAAATTTGTAGCCCAGGAGCAGATCTATGCAAATATGTTAATTTTTCTGCGATTCAAAACCGAACTAGAAGTTCTGGGAATATAAACTTCTTTTGACACTGGTTTTGGCCAGCTCTGAAAATCCTCCCAGGGAAAATTTTAAACCTGGAAGGGAAATAAATTACTGGTGGTTTTTTTTTTTGTAAAGGCAGAAATCAAAATTTAGTCTTTTGAGTTTACTAGTGGCTGTGTTGGGTTGTAGAATACTAATGACAATATATTGTGTAAGCTTTCATTCTACCTGGCATTGGATGCTGGCAGAGACGGTCTTCACTGCAGTAACTGTGGTTGTCTGTTGGTATAACTTACAGCTGCGTGGAGTTGGATTGGTAACTTAATTTGCCTACTCTGAAAATTTTTTTGCCTTCAAAACAAAGAAGAAATACCTGCTGTACACTGTATCTCAAATGCTTTCTTATATTTGTTACTTACAGTAATGAAAAATTTACACTTGAGGGGTATTTTCTGCCTTCTTTTTAGGTTGGTGACTTGAAATTTCAGCTTGGAGGATGAAGTTGGTTAGGGATAAACTGTTACCTTTTTGCAAGCTTAGAACTGTGTTAGCTTTGATGGGAGAGTTTTCTGCTTAGTGGAAAGGCAGTTATGTCTTCTTGAAAGTATAGCTGAAATAAGAGCATAGCTTAATCTCTTCAGTAAAACATGTTGTTTTCCAGGATCTACCTCTGAACCTGGAAATAGAAACAGATCTGAAGTCTTCTACACGTTAAACGGCTCGTCAGTTGACTCTCAGCCTCAAATGAAAACAAAACCCCCGTGGTATATCGATGAAGGTAAAGAGAGATGATGGTCTTTCATGTAGGCATACACTTTATTTAGCAAAACAAAACTAGAGTGTATTGATGTTCTTCAAATAAAATAAGTTTAATTTTAAAACACTTGGAGTATATTGTCTTAGTGGAAGACATATCATAAAAAACATTTTGGAACCCTCATGAAAGTGTATTCTGTCTTAATTGACAGACCTGTTGTTTTATTCTGCGTGTAGGAGATTACATTCTTGGCAGCGTGTGCACAGCTCTGTGGGAATGTGTATGTCTTGCAGGCAAAATAAAAGCTGAGGCTTGGAAGGAGGATACGAAGATATTCCTTATAGCCAAGTATATAGAGTAATTTTATTTTGCTGTCTTTTTGTAGCTAATGTTACAGATCTAAGGGAACTGTAATATTCTGCCATGCCAGCTACTCAATCTGGAAGTGTGTGTGTGGGGGGGAATCTGACTAAGCATACAAATTTTTTCAGTATTTTAAAAAGTTATTTATGTAAAATCTCTTTCTGAATTCTTACAAGTATGGGTGCGCATACCCATAGGATCAGTATATGCTGATTTGCTTCCTGAGCTAAATTTTTTTTTTTTTTTTTCCTGGTCAGCTTTTCTAAAGTGTGGCTGGGGTTTT